TCTTCTATTGACGGCTTAGCTGGAGGAGTTTTTCTTTCCTACAAGTACAAAGGCTCAAATTCAAGCTCCCTTTTCCAAAAACCTTGGCCTTCAAGAGCCAGTAACCGCTCTGTCAAGTCTTCACCATTAGCTTCATCTAAGTTCATGAGACAAGTTGCTAGGGGATCTTTAAAGTTCAATGCTTCATCGTCCTCCTCCAACACTACATCCATCGCATCTGTCGCACCCCGTTTTTTCCTCCATGGAGAAAGTCCGGGTTCCAACGTTCATGGGGGTAATAAATTATTTCCTTTTGGGATTTGGGTATTTGAAGAGTCGCCACCTAAAGGATTATGGTGCATTATGTAACCTAGAGTGATTAACTCTTAGACTAGTTTGCATTACCAGAGATTTAGGGTAAGGGCTCGAAATAACCTTGAGGGGAAGATGTTAGGCACCCCTCTCGGTGGGTCCACAATGGTGGGTCCCGATCGAACTTATACGTATGAATTAGTCCTTTAACAAATAAGTAGTTGAAAACACATAATTGCAAATAAAAGAATGTTGGACATTGTATGACTCAAATAATAAGACAAAGAATTTAAACAAGTTGCATATAAAAGAGTAAAGTTTAAATATCGGAAATTGGGAAAATGAGTCCTAGGTTGGTTAGCCTACAGGATCACCCCACACAATGCCCGGTAAACACTCCTCAATGAGAGGCTACACGTGACATTAGCGCATAGTCATCATATCCTTTTCTATCCAAGTCCCTCCCCTTGGTCATAGCCTAAAGCGTTCTAGCAACCTTGAAAATGTCCTATGCATGCACTACCCGTCCCTTCCTTGTGGCCCTGAAGGTATTTTAGGACCTCTACTTTTGGACAGTTCTAGACCTTCCTAAGGTTTTAAAGGATAAAAATCTAGGCATCAATCAAGAACAAGTAGGACTGCATTTAACAGAACAGATTACAGGCTCACAATCATCTCCACAAATAGAACAAGTAAATGCACGTCTTCAAACAACAGTCAGGTATTTAAGAAAAAAACCTAGAACATGATATCTAGGTGAGTAGGGATTATGCATTATTGACTTAGGACAAAGTGTAAAAAATCCTATTTAGCTTGCCTACTGATTTAGACCTATTAAATCTAAATAATTTTAAATAACAAAGCACAGTTTAAGAATTATGGAATTTAAATCGCCCTATAGGCTTGCCTAAACGCAGAACATTGATGTCCTAAGAGCATGGTATCTACATTGATGCAGTAAAATAGTGAACAGTTTTTAAACGAACACTTGAGATCCTATAGACATGCTTTCTAGTGATAGTAAATTAGGGCAGTGTTTGAAAACTCATTTAAAGAAACGGACAGTTGATTAAGCCAATTCAGAATGAACTAATATGAATTAGACTAATTTGTTTAACTAAACTGATTTTAAGCTCTATAGGCAGGATTTCTACTAGAATTGATTTTAATTCCTATAGGCATGGTATCTAATTGTTAAGAGCTGATTTTGGAACTTATAGGCATGATTTCTAGTGAAACAAATGTGAATACATGTTGTAACGGAAACTGAACTTAATCACTTTACATTCTATAGGCATGATATCTAATGATAAAGCCATTTAGATCCTATAGGCATGATTTCTAATTATAAAGTTGATTTTAACCCTATAGACATGATTTCTATTATTGAAGCCATTTAAATCCTATAGACATAATTTCTAATATTGTGAAAGTAAAGCAAACATAGCAAGTGCATTAACACAATCTTATAGGCATGGTATCTACCCGAATTACCCAACAGATATAACTACCCACCTCTTTTTCACTAATCACCCCAATGTTGTTTACAAATAATTACTACAAACCAGTTGAATAAATTACATATACAAATAAAGAAAAAGAATAAGTTAACTTAAGGAGCCTAAAGCAGGCCCAAATGACTTCCCAAGCCTCCAATAGCCTCAAATGCCAAAGTTCCATAGACAATATCATGTCTAGGTGTGTCAAAGTTCCCTAAGGACCTCAAGGGTCCTAGGCAATACTCACACCTAGACCTTTTCTCAACAATAACTGATTTAAGTGCAGTATGGAAGGGACAACTCTGACATGCCAGAGTTCAGAGAGATCTCAAGGATCTCAAGGCAATACACATGCCATAGGGGCAGAACCTAATACTGTAGGAGTAATGTGAGAGTGTTTGACCTAGTTTTGACATGGTTTCGATATGAAAAACAGTGTTGAAAAGGGCTCAATTAAGTAAAGAAGTTTTATGAAAAATAGGAATTGATTAGTAATAAAAACAATTTTGAAAATAGTGAACTTGCGAGAAATCAGCAAACAGTTTAAAAAGCACCATTCAGACACAAACTTCACTTAGGGAGTATGGGAATTGGGGACACCTAGAAACATATTAATGTAATAGCAAGATCACAGAAGTTTCCTTTTCAGAGTTCTTTATAGGATTTAGGAGTCAATCACACAGCCATAGAACAAACAGTGAGAACATAGTTATACTAGGCAGAATTGAACATAGGGTCAGAAGTACTTAGGGAGTAGTAAGTAACCTAGCAAAGTAGATTACTATCACGAATTTGGTAAACAAACAGACAGACAATCATATATGGAGTAGAGTCAATTTGAGACATGCTAGAAAAAGTAATAGACAAGTCATCAGACATGTTAATCATAAGTTGAATAGGTAGTACTCATATATGCTAAGTGAAACCAGGATTTAAGCATGCTAGTTACATATCAAAAAGCCAAGTGATAGACAGGAATCAGTAAACTAATGCAGTAAGAGAACATATAGAGTTTTGAACTTGTAATTAAATCAGAACATACCAGTTAAGGAGAGAAGACACAAAGTATAGAGCAGTGTAGTGCAATAACTAGCCTTGGCTTACAGCCGGCTAGTTCAATAGAAGTAGCAAGTAACAGAAAAGAGCAGAAAGCTTTAAGTATAAGAGAGAGTTTGAACTAGTCTTCTTTTTTATTCTTGTTGTCCAGAACTTAAAAGAAGAGGAGGTTTATATAGGAATCAAAAACATAACATAACAAGGTAAGAGATCAGTTAAGTAGTAAATCAGGGAAACCACGCGTAAATCAGCAAGATCTTCCCTTAATCAATGGACAATTCAATCAATGGTAAAATATACTAAGTATTTAAGGAAATAAATAAAGTAAAATTTAGGCATGGAATAGGTAATTAGGGGTAAATGCACATCAGTTTAATTAAGGAAACAAATCAATAAATAATCAGCGGAATACAAACATGGCAGAGAAAAACAATTAAGGCAGGCAGATTTAATAAAATTGAGTAAAGAGGTAAGAATCAAGTTAACGGAAAGTCTTCATATTAAACTAGGAATTAAGGGATTCAGAATAATCAAGGGTGCAGTCGAAGAGAAAGTCATGGAAGAATCATCATGCTTAGCATATAAAATGAGGTAAAGCATGAGTAGTCAAAAGTTAAACAACACTAATTCAAGGAGAAGTATACAAGTCTTGCACGAATGGTCAGTATGAACACAAGTACATAATATCAGTGAAAGTTCAAACTAGGAAAGTTTAGTAGAAGCATATTAGGACAAGAAAATAACGAGAAGTCACAAGAACCTAAGACAAGAACACAATCAGATGTACCAATATCCAGAAATCAAACGAAGAATCCCAAAAATTAGGGTTTTCAGTACAAACAGGCTAGGGTTATAGCAGGTTCATAAAATCAGTCAAAAAATGTATGAGAAGTAGATGTTTAAACATAAAGAATCATCGAACAAATTTTACAAAGAAATTCCGGAAACCCTAATTTTAGAAAAAGATGAAAATCACTTGAAATTGTACGATTCTTGTAAAGAATCTCAAGGCTATTGTAAAACTCACAAGAAACAAACTCAAATCACCTTAGATCTGTATAGATCTAGGAGGTTTTTAGGAAAGAAATTAGGGTTTCGAAGAGAACAATACAAAGATGAAGAAACATGTTTAGAAAACTATAGATCGTAGCTAATATAGGATGATCTCACTCATAATCACACCGGAATGTCCTGGAATAGGCGAGAGATGAACCCTATATGCAAGTCGACATAGCCCTAGTCTCTTGAGGGCCTTAGAGATGGCAAGAATGACATGAGAGATCCCATTGGAGGCCTGAGAGATGGTGAGAGGTCATCGAAGATAGCCATAGATGGGGGTCGGTGTTTGGAGATTAGGGTTTAGGTTGAGAGTGTTTGAGAGCAGAGAGGATCTTTGGGCGGTGGGGTAGGTTGTGAAATGAATTAGGTCTGGGGGAGGGGGGTATAGGTTAGTTTAATTAGAAAATGGGAGATCTGGATCGTTGATCAAAATGATCAACATCCAGGATCTAACAAGAGTCGGGTCGGGTAGGTTTGTTGGGGTCAGACGGGTATTGGGCTTGGGTAATTTGATCAAAAATTGGGTTGGGTATTGGGATTGTATTGGGCTGAATTGAGGCTAAAATTGAAATATAGTTAGGCCATATTTTAAATAGCCATTTTACCTCTAATAATTTATAAGAAATAATAAATGATTTCTGAAAAAATAATTTCATGCACTAAAATGATTTAAAACAATTGTTTAATATTTTAAAAATATAAAAGATCATTTTATGCATCATCAATGTAATTATGCATTAATAGGGCTAGTATTGCAAATATATGTAAATTGGATTTAAAATGTAAATGCAATTATAAAAAATGCATTAAAAATATTTAAACAATATTTTGGCATAAATAACTAAATCATCACAAAAAATAATTTGAAGGATAATTATAGGAATTTTTATAAGTAAAAGGGAAGAAATAAATCAATTTGAAGCCTTTAAAATTATAGAAAAATTATAGAAAAATACTTATATATGCATATATGCTATTTTGAAAGTATATATATGTATTAAAAATATATAGGGGAAAATTGGGTATCAACAACATCTATTAGAGAGCAATTGGCAAATTCACTGGGTCTGCGCATAGATTTCTGCATGTTGAATGTTATCTCTTCATCTTTAATCTCATCTTGCGCTCTCCAGTTTCACAATCAATTAAAGCTCTCCTAGTGGCAAAGAATGGTCTTCCCAAAATTATGGGAATTTCGTCGTCAATCCCACAGTCAAGGATGACAAAATCTGTTGGGAACACAAACTTCCCAACCTGCACCAATACATCATCTAGAATCCCAAAGGGCCTCTTCACGTTTCGGTCAGCCAACTGTAATAGCATAGACGTGGGTCTAGCTCTTCCAATACCTAGCCTTTTGTAGATAGCTAGAGGCATAAGATTTATGCTAGCTCCCAGATCACATAGTGCCTTAGAAAAAGCAAACTTGCCTATTGTGCAAGGGATTGTGAAACTCCCTGGATCAGATAGCTTCTCGGCTATGGGTCTCGTCACAACAACACTACAGGTTTGAGTCAGTGTAACTGTGGCTAAGTCTTGAAAGTCGAACTTGCTGGACATCAAGTCCTTCATCATCTTTGCATACCCAGGCATTTCCTTTAAAGTATCAATCAATGGAATGTTTACCTGAATTTGCTTCAACATCTCCAAAAATTTCTTGTACTCCTCATCTTTTTGATACTTGGTCAATCTTTGTGGGAATGGTGCTGGAGGTCGCTTCTTCCCTATGATTTGGTTTTTCTCTTGTTCAGGCACTACTTCTATTATCAGTTCTGGTGCAGCCTCAGTCTCTTTCTCAACCCCATCTTCCTTGTTGGTGTTCTCTTGTGCATTCTGTACCGTCACCTTAGTTAAACCTGCTGAATCATCTATCTTAATAGGTACTTGCACCAGTGTCTCAGTCGGCCTGCTTTCACGAGCAATTCCTTGCTCCAGATCTAAGCCTCTACCATTTCGTAGACTCACTGCCATCAGCTGCTTCGGGCCCTGCTTTTTTGGATTGATTTGAGTGTCTGCAGGTAACGTCCCATGAGGACGATTATTTAAGGCCATGGAAATCTATTCTAATTGGATCTCGATATTTTTAATCGCTGACTCATGTGAGTCTACTCTGTCAGCTAGTTTTCAGGTGGACCCAATCACTTGTTGCACCATACCCTCGAGTGTAGCAAACCCATCTTCATGTCTCACAATCTGTTGTTGTGGAGATTGTTGATAAGCCTACTGCTGATTTTGCTAGTTGTACCCTTGTTACCTGTGGTAAGGCACCATTTGCCCCTATGGTCGCACAACCCCATGATTATTGTTGTTATTGTACTGCTGCTGAGCTAGTCTGTATTGTTAATTCTGCTGACCTCAATTCTGACCACCTGGTCTCGGTCTCCTATAGTTAGCCACATAATTCATGTTCTCCTGATATTGTTGACTATCACCTTCAGCACTGAGCAGACATATGGTTGATTAATGCATGATGTACATAGACCCCCATTGGTTGCATCAACTATGTGTACCTGCTGCTTCTGGCCTGATTCTTCAACCTTCTTGGTGAGGATGCTCATTTGTGTCATTAGAGTGGCCATATTTTCAGCTATGGAGTTAGCCCGGTCTAGAGCCAATGAGTGAACCACTGGAGTGATTGGAGCATTTTTTGTTGTCCATCCTGAGTTTTGTGCCATCTTATCAAGTAGGATCTTGCTCTCTCTGAATGTTTTGCTAAAAAATGCTCCACCTGCTGAAGCATCAACATTGGCTTTCAAACTATTTGCCAAACCCATGTAAAGTCTCTGCCCCAACATCTGCTCCGGAATACCATGATGTGGATTCGTAACCAGCAGACCCTTGAATCTCTCCGACGTTTCGTGTAGTGTCTCAGTTGGTTTATGCTTGAAGCTCAATATCTCATCAATTTGAAGCTCAAGCGGTCACTGCAAATATATTTCTGTTAACAAGTCCGGAGTCGAATCCCATAGGGAATTAACCTATCAATCACAGCTATTGGATTCACAGAAATTCACGTATTCAATCTTCCGAGATATTTGAGTAACAAATTGGATGTTTATTAATTAAATATTATGTAATAAAAATGCAGTAATTAAGAACTAGCTATAAACTGGTTGTAAGGAAGAATGAGAATGGTCTAAGGTTCTGATTTTCCCTCTTGTCGAAATCCTTTCTGCTATATTTGCTATAAATTTGCCTAAGTCTTCTCTATCGATCAGGAGCAATCTGACTTTCGTAACTCTCTCCAGAGTAATTACAACAATATACTAGACATATTCTCCAGAATTACGCTAGCTGGCCTTAGTTACAGCTCACTTAGATCGCACCCAAGGTTTCGTTATCCCTAATCCCAACTTTAAACCCTTTGTATTGATCCCTCATATACTTTAGGAGTGGTGTTGTTCAACAACTACCTAAGTATACACTCTCTCCCGAGTAATGCATACTAAATAGGCACAACCGATTGAGGGCCCTTCAATCAACATCAATCACAATATAGTTGAACAAACAAAGAAATTATTAAGGCAAATCTTTATTAACATATCAGAAATTCATCCTCCAAGAGGTTCCATCAAAACCTTAGATTAAGTGTTTAGCTACGCATAATCGTTTTCACAATCATAATAGTAGAATTCATCATTAGTTATCAAAACAAGAGGAAGAAAGGTAAAAATCTATGTCGAATCTTCTGCCTTGCCTCTTGTCTCTTCTTGCCTTCAATAATCCTTCAAAAACCTTGATACCTTCTTTTTGGGCGAGTTGGGCTTTTTATAGGTTAAGGAGATTTGCCCCCAAACTTACGATTTACCCCTGAAAATAACGTTCCTCGAAGCGACGAGCGCGACCGCGCTTGGGCTGCGCATATTGCATTCTTTTCTGCCTAACGAGCGCAGCCTGAGCGCTGCCACGCTTGGCCCGCGCTCATGGAGTTCAACTGTCTTCCATTTTTTTCCTTCTTCTTTTACGCGCATTCACCTCCGATTGGTCTTCCTTGCTGCAAATTAGCTCCAAACACTGTTCAATGTCCTCATAATCAAGACTTGCTCCTGCAAAGCACAAAATTCATAACTAGAGCCATTTGTTGTCGTTTAACCTTCATATAGCAATAAAGTATAACTAAGTTCGGGAGTAAATGGTCGCTAAAGTACATGAATATAGCATATTATCAATTTGCTCAAAGAGTATAAGAGAAATGCATTTTATTTTTTCTTTCATCACAAATATTGTACATATTTGGATAATTGGATGTATCCTATAGTATGCGAAAATCACATTGTGGAATTTTTGGTTGAACAAAATTTGGTAGGTTTAAACTAAATTCAATCCTAATAAAATGAGCTAGATAAGTTGGCAGATTAGAATTCTATATGGAAATAAAAGTCATTAGTGAATTAACTTACTAATTGCTCTTAGAATGATAGTTTTAGTCATTGAGTTATTGTTTTAGTATTCTGATTCTGTTTCTATCATATTCGAATTAAAACGTTCAACCTTCACTTAGACAAAGTTGATGATATTGATCCAACTAATCACTAAAAAAGCTCAAAAGAGAAATCAGTTTACTCTCAAGAAGAACAAGTCGGGTACTACACATGTTATTCTCTAGCAATAATTAAACAATTTGTTTTTGCCTTTTGTACTTATGTTAGTGATTAGATCAAAATTAGCCACTTTCTTTAATTGAAGGTCAAATATACTTTGGTTAATGTTGCAAGAGTCAAATGACACAGAAATAACCCACGATCAAAATCACTATTCTTCCATAAATAAATAAGATCGAAATCTATATATATATTTGTACAAAATTATAGGTTAATGCCTTAACCTAACAGTCAAAATGGGGTTGTTAAAACCAAAATGTCTCAAATTCAAATCCGATAAATCGGATTTTTGTTGTTGTTCAAATTCACGTTCTGGTGCTCTTCCAATTATTAGGTATCGGAGGACACCAATCAAAGCCAATTTAGGCACGTGATATATTTCAACTCATGACTAGAAAGCAAAATTGTTCGATAAAATGTCAAATCATTGTCGCTAATTTTCTAAACGCAAGTGTAATTTTGATTATTTTCTAAGTGGAAATCCTTTGTCCAATAGCATCAGTAACTAACTTAAAATTGTAATAAAACAACAAAGACAAATATTGCAAAGAAAAAGAATGGGAATTTTTATTGATTTTAGATGATTTACAATGGAATAGAACCCCTCTATTTGTAGGAAAAAAGTGACTTAACCACCAAGTAACAAACCTTAAAATCTCTCTAAAGACATTCACCTTAAATGCAATTCTATTTATAACACTCCCCTTGAATGTCTATTCAACAGATAATGTGCCCCGTTAAAACCTTAACTAAAATAAAACACAGTGGAAAAAAAATTCTAGAGAAGGAAAAAGATTATACATGTTTAGAAATACGCATTTTGGTTGCCTCGTTAAAAACCTTGTAAGGAAAACCCAGTGGGACAAAACCTTGTAAGGAAAAAAGAGTACAACACGTATTAACTCCCCCTAATGAGAGCATCAATTTACATGTTTAAGCCTTCGTATCCCAATCTTGTACGCTAGCTTCTTGAAGGTTGACATCGATAGAGATTTGGTGAACAAATCAGCCATATTATCACTTGAATGAATATGTTGCACCTTGAAATCATCATTCTTGTATATATATATATATATATATATATATATAATTGTCTTCATATAATATCGTGAAATGACTTTTTCAATATCTCCATAGAGATTCTCATTATCATATTATCATGCTTATAGTTATAGCAAGATACATATGTGCACAAATTGCACTTAGGATGTGATACTTCAGGACCAAGAATTGTATATGCTTTAAGCGATTTAAATCCTTCAAGGATTGTCATATAAGTTAAGTCATATAATAGACTTTAATTAGATGCACATCAAGTTTTCATGTCATGCTAGACAAATAGGATATCGAAAACTGATTGCACATATTTGACTTTATACTTTCAAGTGTTTTAACTACATGTCCAAAACTACATGTCTTTCATATGAGGCCAATTCTATTTGAATTGTGTCTCTTCTATTTGGCCAATATTTTTGTGTCTGTATATGACATACTTGAGGTCATCATCTATACTTAGCGCTATGATAGATATCGTCAACGAACATTTTATATCGGTTCCAATATTTTTTCATAAAGACATAGCATAGAGATCTCTTCATTCATATTTTCAGGTACCCAAACCTCTCGTAAGATTTTATGAACTGTTATGTCACGTGATCTTCTGGATCACTTGCCTCCTTATTATGATCATTTGCTCATCTTCTTTATCAAGAATCTTATTTGAAACCGATTTGTCTATACGCTTTAAGCGTACCATAGACTTTGTCCTTCTAAGACTTATTCTAATATGATCATTTGCAGTGAGAATATAATTACTTTCTTTGGGTCAACAAATGCGTCTGGCATGCTTTGCAATATATTGAGATGAATTATTTTTTTTATAAACTTGAAGTTCATATTATCTTAATCGATGATCTAGATGTACGAATGATAATTCATTCCACGGAATTTTTTTTCAACGGTTTATCATGTCTCCCCCTCATGTTAGAAAAACTAACTCGATTCCTCAACTTTGAAAATTTACCTTTGTGCATTATGGTGTTAATCAAAATATACACCGCACATCACTAATAATAAGAAGGAGCCATTTGGTTCCCGACCCTGAACCACCTGTGAGGGGAGAATGTAATATACTTTCGTATATAACGTATATCAAACTGATATAGATAACTTTGTTTTCATAAGCAATAGTTTAACTATTAAGTAAGGCACTTAATAAATCATCTTGCTAAACCAGTTGTGATATAAACTAACTTATCAAGATAAACTATCTTGAATAGAAAATTTGAAAATTATGCTCTAAATTAAATTGTTGAGCAAGTTACCTTGCAAACACCAAGTTGCGGGTTAATAATAATCGCACGTGTAATC